ATTTCTTCGAGACAAGTTTTTTTTCAACGACTCGGGGGGGAGGGAGTCGGGTGCAGGTGGGAACACGCTGGCCATTCGTATGGAGTCAGTAAACCACCATGGTTTTCTCATCGGTACGTTCCTATTCTTGTATATGTGGAGGGGCGCGCCAGTGATGAGAAGTACACGCACAATGGTTTATTGTCTCCGCCCACATGATCAGCGAGAACTTGCCCTCCGAGCAGTAGTCTGAACTGGAACTACTACTGTTGAGAACCATGGTAAGGAGAATACATATATTAATGCTCACGAGGAAAATATAGGCTTTAACAAAAAGTCTGAAACAAATCGAAGTCAAGTTTTGTATGACAATTAGGAATGTTAAAAGCCACTTCTACAGAGACATGAGCAGTCTTTAAAAATAATCTAATGGGATGGACCTTCCTGTCAAAATGTCAATAACGTTCACCTCTTCGGCATGAATCCTGTTGATGTGCATCTGGGCTGTCAGCTGACCGCTGGCTTCCTCCATCTGGCATTGAAGAGCTTCTAGTTCATTCTGCATTTCCATGCGTAAGCGATCAGCCTGAATGTTTGAAAAGTGCAGAAAATGAAAAACTTTGAGTTATTGATTGAGAAGGTTTACAGCATGTTTGGGAACAAGGTCCTGATCAGGACGCTTTTACTATAGATGAAAGTATAGTAAAAGTTTTAATGGAAGTTTTGATGAGGTCTATGCTCAGGAATCAGTTAACAAGCCAGCTCCGTAGGTTACATTCATCTTGATGGACAACCCTTTTAGCGGCCTTTCTCCCAATCAGGAAAAAAAAATCGATACAATTCGATACTAAGTGGCTGTGAGCCCGAAGATTTGGTTGCGGCGAACCAGAGAAAAACGTTGGGGGGGGGGGTCGTACTGCCACTGTCATTTCACACATCACGATGCTGTACCTGTTTTTAATCGGGCCAATGCAGCAGAGACGCCACCTGCCACCATATCTTTGTCCAGCGAACGCATAGGATTACTAAGTGACATACCTTACACCTCGATTTCCTCTCAGCATCCAAATCTTCTTCAAGTTCTTGTATACGATCAATAAGTCGTCGTATGTTTGCTTTGAGCTTGGCTATCAGATTTGCGTCATTGGCTGCCTTAGTCTTCAGTTGACCGATATCCTCTTCTTTTCTGGAAAAAATGATTTTCAGTTAGTGTACTGGTATCTTGGTTAACTAATTGATTGTTTTTTTTTATTCACCGCTACTAGAAAAAATTCGTCGTATT